TCAATTATCAACAACTCAATCACAATTATATGATAATAGGAATGAAATTTATAGAAATGATAGAACATAGTGAAAATTTGAAATGTTGCACTAATTTTTTTATATTGTACAACGTAACTTTACAATGCACGGCAAACATTCTGGTAATAAAAAGTAAGTGATAAACTGGATTTTAATTGGATCTGAACTTGATCTCTCCAATTTAGAGAGGTAACAACTATATATATATACTGGTGAAGTTTCAGGAGCAATGGGTTCTGTATAACATTTCGTGTAACAACAAACTTCCACTATGCTAAATGATAGTATATTGTGGTAGTACAATTGTGATGCTAAACAATTTTGCCTAATTTGTCGTATTCGTCACTGTTTTTTTGCCCTCCACATTTATGAACTCTTGGCGTCTATGAGCAAATAAAATTAGAAAAGGGGTGAAAATTTTGCTAGAGAAAAATCATTTTACATTGTTGATCTATTTTGGAGAAAACGACGGACATTTTTAGAAAAAATTAAAATCAAGTTATTACAATAAAAAAAAAAAATATCTTAAAAAAGCAATCGTTAATTTTAGATTTCAAGCCTCAAAAACTAATATTAACAAAAATCAATAAATATATAAGAAAAGGGATTTATAACGAAATGTAATATGATAAATAGTAAATATGATGGATGATAATTTAAAAAAAACTCACTCCTTTTCCTGCAACTATAATAACTGATCAACTGGTCTATCGAAATAAAATTTAGATTTCTAAATTTAGATTCATTTTATTTAGAAAAAAAGCAAAAAAAAATTTTACACAAGATTTAATTTACAAATTAAAAATTAATTTTCGATTTTGAGAAATAATAAACATTTCAATTATAATAAATAATAATAATATAAATAAAAAATAAAAATAAAAAAACTTGTGTAATTAACTTTCTGTTGTAATTTCATTGATGTTGATGTTATTGGTCGGAATATAGAAGAATATATAAATTGTATATTCTTTTTTCTCATAAACATTAAGTTTTTTTTTCTCTATTTCTTTCTTTTTTTATCTACGGAAACGCCATCTCTTTTCCAATTTGAGTAAGAAAACATTATAATAAATTTTTTAATTGAAAAACACTTTTTTCCTAACGTTTATCATTATTTTTTCTAATTATTAGCAAGATAAAATTATTTTTATGAATTGTTATTTTTAACGACAAAAAAAAATATTTTAAAAAAAAATACTAAAACTAAAAATGAAAACAACTGGTCTTTTCAGAAGAAATACGGTTGTAACAACATCACATAAACGCGATGACGATTTTGCTGATTATGCTACAGTAATTAGTGCTGAAGTATGGTTTTTTATGTTTTTTAACTATTATTTAATTTATATATTTTGGTAAAGATTTTTTTATAAAAACATTTTTTTATTGTATTTCAGGATGACCCAAAGAGACTTAAAGAATATATCACTAAGATTTATAAAGCTTACAGAGATAAGGTTCATATTATATAATACATTTCATATTATATATACAAATTACATTATGTTACATAAATTACATTACAATACACGGCATATTAATTAGTAATGTGTTTGTGATAATTCAGAGCAAAAGTCTTAGATCTGCTTATGCAAAACTTGATTTATTAAATAATGAAATAACTCAGGAGAAAACAAGGTTTCATGATATTGAAGATGAAAATCAATCACTCAGAGGTAATTTTATCGGGGACAAGAATGGAAATGAGCGAGAATATTAAATTAAAATTATAAAATATATGGTTATTATTATTATTATGTTATTTTTTAAAAAATATTAGACCAAATGCAAGGAATGGCTGATCAATTAGTGTCGAAAGAAGAGGAATTTAATGAATGGCAAAAACAAGTATGAAAATTTTTACACATATATAAATTTATCACCCTGTTACGATTTCACTCACACGCTTGTTATTGTAGTTGGCAGAACAGACAAAAAGAGAACGTGAAGTTCTAAGTGAAGAGTTTGAGGAACAGGGAACGCAGCTTAAAGAAAGAATTAATCAACTCGAAGATGCATTAAATCTTGCAAATTTAGAAATCACAAGATTAACCATCGAAATGGCCGAATTAACAGATCCTTGTCAATCTTCTGCTTCAGATTCAGGAAACGAAAGTAGATCTTCATTGGAAATACTCTTCACCGACAAAGTAATATTATATAAAATTTTTTTTATATTAATATATTCATCATAATATTCTTTTAATTACACAACAAAAAGTCTCACCAAAATAAATCTTCCCACTAACATATTCAAGAAAAAAAACTTCGATCAAGATAAACACGAATTAACTAAACAAATACTTGAAATCACACAGCGTAGGATGAGTTTACAGACTGAATTGACATTAGTGGAAGAAGAAAATACTGATTTAAAGGTAAACATCATAATCTTTACTCTTCATAATCCTGGTAGTAATAATAATAATACGATCTATTATTGTTGTTGCTACTAACAAAAAAAAAAAAACAAAAAAAAAAAGGAAAATCGTGGTCGTTATTATTATTCTTCATCTTCATCTTCAGAAATAGCTTTTAAAGATCAAATAAGACAATTTTATGTGGGTATTGAAAATTGACAAAGATTTTTTAATTCTTGTTTTTTTTATGTTATGTGATTTTATTTTATTTGTGTGGTGTTTGTATGTGTGTGTTTGTCGATAAATCAATATATATTAAAAAAAGCTTCAATACACACAAATCACGAAGGAGAATCAAACCTTACGACGCGAAAATGATGAACTCAAACAACAAGTTGGAAAGAAAATGTTTATGAGATCGATGGAAGACGTTAATCTTGATGATTAGGGAAGGACGAGGTGAAGAATAAGAAGAAAGACGTGGGAAGTATAATGAATATTAATAAACAAATGTGGATAAATGAATGAATGAATTAACGAGTGAATGTGAAAATTATTGTCATGGTTTAACGGTAAAATGTTATATTTAATACATTAATTATTAGGAAAAAGGTTCATCACTAAATTTTTTATTAATTATTTTATATATAGAATTCAAATGTTAATTCATGAATTGATTACTTTATGATCATTACTTAATAATATTTTCGATTAGAATGCTGGCATTCTTCCGTTATTTAATTCTTTCATTAATTTCACCTACTAATTTCCATCAATCCACCAATTCATTCATTCATATCCATATTCTTTATCTTTGTAAATATTTATCAAATTTTTAATTTTTATTTAAATTCTTTTGTTTCCTCGTCTCTTTTTTTCACCTTTTTATATTTCCTTTTATATATATGTATATGTAAGTTTCTGTTTTTTAGCTTTTTTCTCATTTATTTATTTAAATATGTCTTATGGAATTTATTATTCGGGATTTATTATTTTTAAAAAAAAAAAAAAAAAACAAAAAAAATTCAAAACTTAATGTTTTATCAATTACATATGAATAAAAACAAACCATTTTAAAGAATACACAGTATGGAAGAAAACGTTTTTTAATGATTATACAAAATTTATATAAAATAAATAAATACGCCCGTAAAAAAAGTATGTTTAGAACTTTATATGCTTTTGGTAGTTGAAATTTGTAATTGTGCTATTGTGTGATATTAATTACCTTGTTAGTCACGTATATTGGCTTTGGACAAATGATATATACATGTATTTTCATCTTTGAGAAATAATTCTTGATGCTCGAGATCCATAGGAGTGGGTGTCAATATTGGGAATGATAAAACTTTAATATCTTTTATAATAGTGGAAATTTCTGGTTTTCAGTTTTCAATAGATTGAATTCATGAGTAAGGTTGTGGGCAAAACCTCCTTAGTAATTGCTGAAACCATGGCAAAACTATATTAATTCTTATCAAAAATCCTGTTGAAACTATGCCGAAATGGCAAAACCTCAAAATGCGAAACTCTGCCAAAACTCTAATAAATGATTAATGTGTAACCTGCTGAAACCCTGCTGATTGATTTCTGGATGAGTTTCGGCAAGCAACCTTATTCATGAGATTGCCCTTATCAGCCCCTTGAGCTTTTACAATACCAAGAAGGCTAGAAAATTCAAAAAGAAAATGATGACATTGAAGGTGGTTCATCAATTAATTGCTAATTGTGGCATATAAAAATTGAATTGCAGTTGCAAACATAAGAAAATTGAATTGTGGCTAACTACAGTCTCCACTGTGAGCATGTGATCTGAGTTTTTGATAAAATAGGTATTTCTATAGCACTAGTCTTTCTTTCTAGTGTCCAATTATGGTTGCCAAAACTCCAATTGGCAGAGTTACACACTAATTGTTTATTAGAGTTCAGCAGATTACACACTAATTGTTATTAGAGTTTCAGTAGTCATTAAGAGGTTTTGGCAAGCAACCTTATGTCCAATAATATATGCTTTTCTGAGATCTTGACTTTTCCTTTTATTAGTATTAGCCACTAACTGCTTTCTTGTTATTCTTAGTATTAGCTACTAAATACTATTCTATTGCAGATGATTTCTGGTAGATATCCTCTGTTTTATCCCTCAACTGCACATGTTAATTATTGCAGATAATTTTTGGTTGTTGTGAGTGTCTTTTGTTTCCTCCAAGCTGCATGCAATATCTATATAACATGAAAAGAAATAAAGAAATATGGTACTTGAGGTGTCCCGCCAAGAAACGGGTCTGATTCATTTCATCGACAATCATTTCGTCGACAGTCATTTCGTCGACACCCATTTTGTCGAAAGTTTGTTTCGTCGAAAGTTTGTTTCATCGAAAGTTCATTTCGTCGAATGTTCATTTCGTCACAAAAAAAAAACAAATTTCTTCTCACACTTCCCACACACTCCGCTTTCCTCACCTAATTTCTTAACTAGCTTCCCACACTCCTCACATCCAACTCTTTCGGTCTCTGGCTCGAGGATGAATAATTTTCGACGAAATGAACTTTCGATGAAACAAACTTTCGACGAAATGGGTGTCGACGAAATTATTGTCGACGAAATAATTTTCGACGAAGTAAACGCGACCGATTCAAAAACAAACACAAAGAAGTCAAATGTGAATTTAAACTTTTATATCGTAGTAGTAGAGATGGTCCAGATTGTACGGTACTTCATCAAAAATGTGATGGTATCAACAAGACACTTGTGGTTGGTAAAATACAAAATTCAGATCAAATAATTGGTGGTTATAATTGGAATGGTTATGGTTATAAAGCAACAAGTGGAAGTTTTATATTTAATATAAGTAATAGAAATGATATTGATATTGCACGATTCAGCTATGTAATTATTATGTGCTTGTTTTTACCTGTTTTGGTCATGATGACCATGATCTTCAATTTCATACAAATGGTTATATTTATAGTAAACCATGTACTTATCCCATAAACCGTATTCACATGCCAAAAGTCTTATTTATTAATAATATCATTAGTCACAAATTTGTGACTTCTACGGTTTAAGAGATAATAATATCAAAATAATAAATTGTAGTAGATTCGATGAACTAGAAGTTTTTTATTTGCAAAATGTGCACAATTGCAGTAGCTTGACAATAACATAATTGGATTCATTTACCATTTACTTTATTAAATAAATAAAATTAATAAAAAATTCTATCCCTGTTTTTTTTTTCCTAAATCAATCAATATATCTGTTTCATAGACACAATGATATTTTTGACTGTATTTTCAACCATAATCTCTTCAATTTTTTGGCGCCCAACATGATGTACCAATAGATTAAATAGGACCCCCACTTAAATGTAACATGTTTTACTGTTTAACCTAGTAGTAGTAGGAAATTAGTTGCGCCACAGAATATTCAGGGTTCATCACAAATTTTAAAGTCAAAGAAAAGACACATGTAATAAATTTATATCAAAACAGCCTTCACAGTTCAAAGTAAAATTTGCATCACACTTGTAGTATAAATTCATAAATCAGGCAAGGAAGGGGTTATCTTTTTCTCTTCAAATTTGTTTTTACTTTCTTGATGATTTATACATAGAATTATCCTTATGCTGCATTTTCAAATTAATTGCATTTTTGCTTGTGATCGTGTAAACTTGCAAGATCAAGTAAAGCTGAACTTTTTGTGAACTTCTAGAACCCATTTGTAATAAATTATATTCTGGCACGGTCGCGTTTACTTCGTCGAAAATTATTTCGTCGACGAAATGAATCAGACCCTTGAATTGTATATTGCGTGTCACAGTAATACATCATTTGTAGATCTTCAGGTCACATGACAAAAATATATCAACCATTTTTACTGGTATTTTCTTTTGCTAATGCTTTTCTTTTTTTTGTGTGTGCTCTTTGATCATAATAGATTAATAGCCTTTTGGCCTTATAATTTTTCATATTATTAGTCAGTAATTGAAATAAAAATTCATTATTATATTTTCAAGTTCTTCATCAAAGTATGGATACATTTCTTCAAAGTCTTCTTCAGATAAAGCTCCTCACGAGCTGGCTTGCGAGCTGACTCATGCGGAGCCTTATCTTCAGATCACTATTGTCTAAAAAAGAAATATTTAATTAATCATTAAGTTATTTATATTTTCATTATCTGGGGTTTTTTTTTTTTTGCTTTTCTTGCTTTGACTGCACAGAAATTTTTTAAGTGCCAAGTTCTCTCTTTTAATTCCAACCATTTTAAATATTTTAAGATTTTTATTAGAAGAAAATTTTGACAGAAAAATACTTTGTGGTAATTTACTTTATAAACAAAATTGATTAGAATTATGGGGTCGATTTCAAGTTGCACTTATTTAAAAAATTCCAACGCTTTTAACTATATAGAATAATTGATTTATGTTGGTTACATGAAAATTTCCTGAAATAATTAATTCGCAATTCGCGATAAACGGGATATATTCATTTTAATAGTAAAATAATAAGAAGAAGAAAATTAATTAATAGTCAGAATCTTGAATTGTTTTTTAATTGTAGAAATTTAAATTGTTTCAGTAGGTGAAATAAAACCACATTCACATTATGAGTTAAATGCAAGAGAATGGAGAGTAAAATGAGATACAACTAAATTGATTTACTACGTATTGAAGTCTTTAAAGCATTTTAATTTAGTAAATTTAATTACCATATATTTGGTTTAATGTTATTAATTCTTATTATATTTAAAAATATAATAGTTTTATCGAAGATATATAACAAATATACAGCTGATTTATAATGAGCAGACAGATATAAGGTTTTTGAATAATATAATTAGAATCATTATTTACATTTTATTAAATCTAAAACATATTAATTGGAAGTATGAATATATTTAATGTATATCAAATATTCTGTGTAAAACTTTATTAATTACTAAAAAGAATCCAAATTTGAAGTAGGTGGTACTCCATTTCTAAATGTTGCTCACAAAAGACAATGCGATGTTCCGTAGTATTCCCAATTATTTATTTAAATTAATTTTTCTTTTTTTTATATTTTTTAGAAAAATGGTCATTATAATAAATTCGGCAAATCCTTTTCAAGACAAGATTGTGAAAACCAACATACAGAGTGTATCAATAGCTCCCCTGCTTTTGTATAACAAATCTTTTGTAATAATGGTTTCAAATAGTCCAATAATACCCTTGAAATTGATTGTATTTTGAAAAAAAAGCAATTCTTTAAAAAAAAGTCATTAGATAATAAATAATAAAATGCTTTATTGACAGTGGAATAAATTGATTCGAACTTAATACAAGTAATAGAGCATCAAACCTACCTCACAAAAAAAAGATATAAACCTCTGCCAACAATACTTTGATGCAGTTGAAAATCGAATAAAGCTTAATAAAGAAATATTTACATAAAAATCAATTACATATA